TATGCAATATTGTACTCCCCAGGATCCTTCTCTACCCCTTTACTGAAAAAGAAGTAGTATTTTTGTGGTCTGATTGGTCATTATAGTTACTCAAATGTTCAACTTCTTGAAGATAGAAGATTAGCAGCAGTAACTAGTCCAAACTCTCTCAACATTCCCCTGCAAACAACTTTAAAATAATGCTTCAAATCCGAATTCTACCAACAACAGGTCAGGGTGAGACATTTTTCTAGCCTAAGACAGCTTAGGAGATGGGCAGGAGAGGTCTGTGACACTGGGGTGAAGGCTGACCCAGAGCACATGGAGGTAGCACCATCAGTGGGCCTTGGAGGCGGGTGCAACCATAGCAGCAGCTTTAGTAGTTGTGAGCCCAGAGGTAGCGGGGGGGCGGGGAGGCATTGGATTGGACAGCTGGTCAGATAGAGATTACAGGGGACCTTGAGCTGACACTAGTTGCAGGATAGGGAGCTGTTTGGCAGCTTTATTTTTATATGCAGTTCTGGATCATAGTTCCTAGTCAGTTCCAGGGCAAAGAAGAGTACTTATGGTTGATCATGAGATTGGGGGCAGAGAGGAACACTAGTGCACATGGCTACAGGGGACCAGAGTGCAGACCTAGACAACAGTGAACACACCTCTCCCTTGGATCACATGACCTTGGAAGCACTGAAAACTTGTAGAGCCCCAGAACTAGCTCTAAAAACAGTAGCGTTAAAAAAGCTTAAAGCTGTGGGACTGTGCCTCCCCACCCCTAGGTGAGCAGAGCTCAATTTTAATGTCAAGGTTCAATGTCAAGAAATAGGCTGGGGAAAAAATGAAAAAACGACAATGAACGTGAACATAAAATGTTAATGCAGTGGCGGGGAAGACCAAGACACAAACTCAGAAGAAGATGACAGTGTGAAAACAGCTACAACCAGAGTCTCAAGACAAATGCTAATTAGACCAAAAGGCCCAATGAAAAGAAGAAAGCTTTCTTAAGAAAGAGATAAGAGTGGTAGAGGAAGAATTGAGAAAATAATGAGAGTAATGCAGGAAAATTATGAAAAGAGAATTAACAGCTTGGTAAAAGAGGCACAAAAAATACTGAAGAAAATACCTGCCTTAAAAAAAAAGAATTGACCGAATGGTAAAAGAGGCACAAAAATTTGCTGAAGAAAAGAACTGCTTAAAAAGCAAATAGGCCAAACAGAAAAAAGAAGTACAGAATCTCAACTGAAGAAAATAATTCCTTAAAAATTAGAATTGGGCAAGTGGAAGCTAATGAGATTGCAAGAAACAATAAAGCAAAATCAAAAGAATGAAAAAAAGAAGAAAATGTGAAATATTTCATTGGAAAAACAACTGACCAGAAAAATAGAATAAGAGATAATTTAAGAATTATTGGACTACCTGAAAGGCGTGATCAAAAAAAGAGCCTAGACACTGTATTTCAAGAAATTATCAAGGAAAACTGCCTTGTTGTCTTAGATCCAGAGGGAAAAATAGAAATGGAAAGAATCCACTCATCTCCTCCTGGAAGGGATAACCAAAATGAAAACTCCCAGGAATATTATAGCCAAATTCCAGAGCTCACAGGTAAAGGAGAAACTATTGCAAGCAGCCATAAAGAATAATTTAAATATTATGGATCTGCAGTTAGGATCACACAAGATTTAATGGCTTCCTTAAAGGAGGAGAGGGCTTGGAATGTGATGTTCAAGAAGGCAATCAAGAATAACTTCAGCAAAACTGAGTATAATCCATCAGGGGAAAGAATACATATTTAATGACATTGAGGATTTTCAAGTATTCTTGATGAAAGGAGCAGAGCTGAATACAAAATTTGACATTCAAATGTAAGACTCAAAAGGAACGTAAAAAGATAAACATGAAAGAGAAATCATAAAAGGGTCAGTAAAGTTAAAATTGTTTACATTTCTTTACGGAAAGATGATACATGTTATTCCTAAGAACTGTATCATTATTAGGGCAGTTAAAAGTAGTCTACATAGAGAGAGGTCACAGGTATGAGTCAACTGTATTGAAATGAACTTCGATCTTATTGTAATTGGTTCGGAGAGAGAAGTAGACATCTTTCTCTCTCTCTCTGTCTCTCAGTTGGGTATAGAAATCTTATCTTGCCCAAAAGGGAAATAGAAGGGGAAAGGGAGAAGAAATGGTGGGGGGTGGGGGGTGGGGCACAGACAGAAGGAGATGGAAAAAAAAGGGAGAGTGGATTAAGGGAGGCAATCATCAGAAGCAAAGCAGACTTTTGAGGAGGGATAAGATAAAAGAGAAAAGAAACAGAAGAAAATGGGATAGAGGGAAATACACAGTAATTGTAACTGTGAATGTGAATGGGATGAGCTCACCCACAAAACAGAAGCAGATATAGCAGAATGGATTAGAAACTAGATTCTAACAATATGTTTACAAAGAGACACACTTGAAACAGAAAGACACACAGTTAAAATAAGGAGATAAAGCAGAATTTATTATGCTTCAGCTGATATGAAGAAAACAGAGGTAGCAGTGGTGATTTCAGCAAAAATAGACTTAATTAAAAGAGATAATCATGGATACTACTTTTTGACCAAAGGTACCATAGACAATGAAGTAATATAAAAAAATTATAACATATTTCTTTGATAAAGGCTTCTTTTCTCAAATCTATAGAGAATTGAGTTTAATTTATAAAAATAAGAGCCATTCCCCAGTTGATAAGGGGTCAAGGTATATAAGGCCGCTAGGTGGCACCATGGATAGAGTGCTAGGATTTGAGTCAGGAAGACTCATCTTTGTGAGTTCAAATCCAGCCCCAGACACTTACTAGGTATGTAACTCTGGGGAAGTCACTTAATCCTGTTTGCCTCAGTTTATCATCTATAAAAGGAGCTGGAATGAAACTGCAAACCACTCTTTGCCAAAAAACTCCGAATGGGGTTACGAAGACTCAGACACAACTGAACTGACTCAGCAGCAGCAACAAGGGATATGAACAGGCAGTTTTCAGAAGAAATCCAAGTTATCTTCAATCATATAAAAATGCTCTAAATCAGTATTAATTAAAGGAATTTAAATTAAAACAACTCTGAGGTAGCACTTCACACCTATCAGCAAATACTGGAGTGGCTGAGGGAAAACAGGTACGCTAATAAACTGTTGGAGTTGTGATATGGTCCTACCATTCTGAAGAACAATTTGTAATTATGTCCAAAGAGCTATAAAACTCAGCATAAATACCCTTTGACCCAGCTACACTGCTACTATGTCTGTACCCCAAAGAGCCTACATGTACAAAAATATTTATGGCAATTCTTTGTGGTGGCAAAGGATTGGAAATTGAAGGGATACTCATCAGCTGGGGAGTGGTTGACCAAGTTGTGGCATATGATTGTGATGGAATACTATAGTGATACAAGAAACGACAAGGGAGGTGGTTTCAGGAGAAAAAAAAAACAACATAGCAAGACCTATATGAACTGATGCCAAGTGAAACATGCAAAATGATATCCCAGTTCTTCTTGAGAGATCATTATGCACAGTAACAGCAGTGTTGTAATGATGATCAATTGTGCAAGACTTCACTACTGTGATCATAATAGTGATCCAAGACAATTCCAAAGGACTTGTGATGAAAAATGCTCTCTACCACCAGAGAGGGAACTGAGGAATACTGAGGGAAAATGGAAGTATAGTTTTCTCACTTTCAAAAAAAAAAGTTCAACTTCTCTTTTTAAGTATTCCTTTCGTTTGCATTATTACAGTTGTGTGTTTTGTTCCCCGGTTCTCTTTACTTCACTCTACATTTTTTCATACAAGCTTTCCTGTGTTTCTCTGAATTACTTGTTTTTTATCATTTCTTATGGCACAGTGATATTCCATTACATTTATATATCACAATTTCTTTAACCATTTCCCAAATTGATGATCATGTACTTTGTTTTGGGGTTTTTGCTACCGTAAAAGTGCTGCCTATAACCAACCATACTGATTTCACCATTCGTGATGTTGAGTTCTTTTAACCAATTATAATTTGTTACCCACTTATGAAGTCCTATCCTTTGTTTTATACTCCCTACACCTATAAAAGGGAGTGGTCCTCTTCATTTGGGCTCAGATATTTTTTGTTTTGCTTTTTGTTCAGTTGTTTCAGCCTCTTCATGACCTCATTGGGAGTTTTCTTGGCAAAGATACTGGAGTTTACATTTTCTTTTCCAGCTTATTTTATAGATAAAGAATTGAGGCAAACAGGGTTAAGTAACTTGCCCAGGGTCACACAGCTATTAAGTGCCAGAGGCTGGATTTGAACTCAGGAAGATGACTCATCCTGACTTTAGGCCCAGCACTCTATTCATCTCACCACCTAGCTGTGCCTCAGTTTTGTTGTTGTTTTCATTTGTTTTTCAGTTTTGTCCAACTCTTTATGACCCCATTTGGGTTTGCCTCAGTTTACCTTATTTTTAAGGTAATACCGTGTTATACCGTGACCCTGTATTCTTTGCATATATACATGCATCATTCCCTAAGGATTCTTAGGAAGTGTCCTTATATGAAAATGCTTCCTATTTCTTACTCTTTTGTTCTTTTGCTAGCTTCGTAAAATATAACCTTAGATACATAATATATTTTTTGAAAATGAAATAAAAATAAAGTGTTGTTCAGTCATTTTCAGTTGTGTCCGACTCTTCGTGACCCTATTTGGAATTTTCTTGCCAAAGATATTGTAGTGGTTTGCTATTTCCTTCTTCAGCACATTTTATAGATGAGGGAATTGAGGTAAACAGGTTTAGATGACTTGCCCAGGGTCACACAGCTAGTAAGTGTCTGAGGCCAGAGTTGGACTTGGGTCTTCCTGACTCTAGGCTTAGTGCTCTATTCACTTCGATAAAGATATAAAATAGTCCTTGTCCTTTTCCTTTTTGTGTGTGATGGTAGGACTCACTGTCAGAAATTCTTTTGATTTACAAATAATTTACAAATCCATTAGTTTAAAACTCTCTTTCTTTTCCTTATAGCGTTGAAGACTTTGGCTTGGGTCTTTTACTTAAGTCTAAGCAAATAAAACGCATGATTTCCTCTTATGTGGGAGAAAATTCAGAATTTGAACGGCAGTACCTAGCTGGTGAATTAGAAGTGGAGCTTACCCCACAGGTAAGATACTTTCTTTGGGTTATGAGATTAATATCATCTGTAGTACTGATTTATTTAAAAGTTGTTGTTTTCCCTACACATTTTTTTTCTGTGGGGGAAAATGTTGCTTAGGGATTCACTCTTTTCAATTTCTGTGTGTTAGCATTTTGTCCTTTTCTGCTTAAAAAGAGAATCAGGGTGGCAAATCAGATCAAGAGCTGGCCTCGAAGCCAGGACAATTTGAATTCAAGTCCTGACACATGTTGGCTTTGTAGCCTAGACAAATCACTTAACCTCTCATGCTCTAAATAACTCTTTTAAGACTCTAAGCTGTAGAATTGGTGTTTACCTGCATGTGCAGAGAGAGATTTCTCATTTGGGAGTTCTCTCTATCCGTGAAAGCATAGGTCTGGTCCCCATCTCCTATGTTTAAAAAGTACAAACCCAGGCAGAGATAATGCCAATTCGCAGTTTCATCCCTCTGTTATTTTATTTAATGTGTCATGTTTGGGGCTTGTCATATGCTAGACACTTTGACAAGCTGCCACGGTATTTAAAGGTTATTTTAAAAGTAAGTTTACAGGATATTTTTAAGCAACTGATTTTTAATGTATTTAAACAATTTGCTGCTACTTTTCCGCATGACTGTCTAATAAATTCAAATATTTATCATAGTTTAGGGAAAGTTTTATAGCATGTAGATATGGGGACCTTTGAATTTACTTATCAGAGGCACTGGTCCTTTGGCTTTCATTCTGGAGATTGTGCAGACTGTATTGATTTGTGGTGGATAACAACAGTCTACACAGTCTTTACTGAATTGGCAGTGAATATCTGTGGCAGAAACATTTTTTTAACATAAAAAAGAAGCATGACATTGACATTTTATCTGGGGATTTCATATGTATATATGAGAGAGTAACTATTTTTGCCTAAGGATATACCAGCTTACAAATAGCTGCAGCTGGTCTATTTTATGGTGTCACCAAGTATGCTTTACAAAATATTGTACTACCAACAGAATCATATACTCTGAAGAGATGTCCTTTCTAACAGCCCTAATCCTCCAATTTCTAATCAGTCAGTCAGTAGACATTTGTTAAGTACCTGCTCTGTGCCAGGCACCCTTCTAAGGGCTTTGGATACAAAGACAGGCAAAAGATAGTCCCTGCCATCAAAGAGTTTACAATCTAATGGAAAGACAACTAATTCAGTAGGCTTCATGGTGGTATATTCATTTTTGAATAAGTTTTGTGTGTTCTATTCTCCCCTTTACATTGGTGGGATGTACAGATGCTTATTTTTCTCTTTCTTTCTGGGCTGAGAAATCTCCCCTTTTTGGTCTTGTATCCTTTATAGAATATTGGTCTTATGTATTGGCACCCGCACGTTTTTATTTGCCTCAGAGAAATTTAGATAATCATCTACTCAGGTGTTAGTGATCACAGCACTGATCTTGTTGAAATAAAGACCCTGCTCAGACTTGCTGGGCTCTTCTTGGGACCTGAGTGGGCACCTCATGTGGTTTCACCTTCCTTCATGGGAGTGAAATTCTCTTCCAAACTCTGTGTTAAGTTACAAAGTCTGCCTAATTCCAAGTTTGGGAGCTTTTTTCTTTATTGTCCAGGATAGTGACAGCAAACCTGCAAAGGAAGGAAGGAAGGAAATGAACAGCAATTTATTAAGTACCTATTATGTGTCAGGCACTGCTGGGCTACTTACTATGTACCAGGCTTTACACTTCATCTCATTTGAGCCTTACAACAACCTTGGGAGGTAGGTGCTTATTATTCCTATTTTACAGTTGAGGAAACTGAAGCAAACAGAGGTGATATAACTTGCCTAAGATCACACAGATAGTATGTGAGGCTAAATTTGAGCACAGATTTTCCTGATTCAAGGTCCAATGATCTATGCACTATATCACCTAGCTCAGAAAGAAAAAAAAATGCTACCTGGTTAACTTTGGTCAAATTATTTAACTTTTCTGAGCCTCAGTTTCTTCATCTACAAGATAAGGGATTGGATGAGATAGCCTCTAAGGTCTGGTTCTAGGTTTCTGATCTTTTGGATTGAAATATCCATTTGTTGTTAAGTCATTTTATTTACGTCCAATTCTTCATGACCCCATTTTGGAGTTTTCTTGACAGAGATACTGGAGGGTTTTTTTTTTTTTGCCATTTCCTTCTTCAGTTCATTTTACAGAGGCAAACAGTGCAAAGTGACTTGCCCTGCGTTACACAGTTATTAAGTTTCTGAGCCGGATTTGAACTCATGAAGGTGAATGTTATTGATTCCAAACCCAGTGCTTTATCCACCGTACCACTGCTACCCTGATATACCCATAGAAACTTTCAGTTGAAAACAAAGTATACAAAAGTAAAGGATATTTAAAAGAAAACTTTGATTCTTCTCCAGGTTGTTAAAGAATTTTAATAGAATTATTTTTTTATGTAAAATGGAAGGCAGAGAAGTAGTTTGGGGGGGTGGGGTGCAGCTAGGTGGTACAGTGGATAGAGCACCAGCCCTGAAGTCAGGAGGACCTGAGTTCAAATCCGGCCTCTGACCAAGCACTTGACACTTACTAGCTGTGTCACCCTGGACAAGTCACTAAACCCCAGTTGCCTGGAAAAATAAAAGTAGTTTGGAGTAGTGGCTAGAAAGCTGACTTTGAAGTCAAAATGAACTAGGTTTTTGTCCTGCCACTTAATAACCACTGGTTGGTTGACTTTGGACAAATTGTTGAACCTGTCAGTCTTGAAGATGAAGAGCAATTGCTTCTTTACAATTGAGGGGGAATACATTAATAAATTTTTAGGTCTGGACCAGAAAAAGATTAAATCTCTGGCTGCATAGCACACAATGAATGTTAACAGCTTAAAATGTCCTTAACCAGAGGTGTTCACAGAGACATCTTCAGCTGTTAAGTAGAATGGAGCAGAATCGTCTTTGTGGTGTTTTTATTTCAGGGGTGCCAAAGCCTCTAGGCCACAAACTGTCTCTCCATCTTGGCTGCCACATTGCCTGAAATTCCACCTGTAACTTGTTGCTGTGGGCTAAGAACTCTAAGCCATCTGTTAAATGCAAAATAGATTGTGTGGGAGGACTAACATCTTAGCCTGTTCTTAGCTTTGATTATATTCTTGGAAACATTCTAATCAATTGAGACAGCACAGACCTGGGACGATAGCCATAGGACAGACATACTTTGATGTGGGGAAAGGAGTCAGGCAATGTTCAGAACACCCAGAACTGTCCAAGAGAGAAGCCCTGGGAGGACCTGGAAGTGAAAAGCTGATTGGCAGCTGGTAGGTGAAGTTGTTAAGAATATGGTCACGATGTCATAGAGCAGTGAGTCTTAAGCTGGGGTCTGTGAACTTGTATTTTAAAATATTCCAATAATTATTTCAGTGTAGTTGGTATCCTTGGGAATCCTGTGAATTTTATTTTATGCATTTAAAATTATTATTCAGAGAAAGGAGTTCATGGGCTTCACCAGACTGCCAGAACAGCCTATGGCGTACATGCGTGCGCGTGCGCGCGCGCGCACACACACACACACACACACACACACAGACAGGTTAAAGACTTCTGCCTGAATTTCAATGCATTTGACAGTCTCCCATGATGTCATTGTGGTCTGGATTAATTGTCGTCCTTCATGCTTGAAGAAGACCAAAAATGACATCACTCTGTTGGGGTCAGGGTACATTGTGTTCAGCTATGGCTGATCAGACCAATGCTCTACTGCAGGTTGGACACAAGTAGTCCACATGAACATTTGGGAGGGAGATATCTCTAAATTTGTGCACTCCATATAGCTTTTTTTTCCCCTAAGGCAATTGGGGTTAAGTGACTTGCACAGGGTCACACAGCTAGTAAGTGTTAAGTGTTTGGTCTGAGGCCAGATTTGAACTCAGGTCCTCCTGACTTCAGGGCTGGTGCTCTATCCACCTCGCCACCTAACTGCCCCTCCACATTGCTTTTGAGCTACTGCAGTTCTGTTCCACTCAAAGAGCACAGCACCTTCTTTAATATGGAGCAGTTCTGTGCCAGTGTCTCCCATGTATCACAATCAATTTCAGAGTTCTTCAGAGAGACCTGGTGAGTGTCCTTGTATCACTTCTTCTGATGTCCATGTGAGCACCTGCCTTGTGTGTCTCCGTAAAAGAGTTTTGTAAGCAAACACACTTTTGACATTCGAACAACTTGGCCAGTAGAGTTTGAATGGTTGGCAGTTCAGCTCAAGAAAGGATCTCAGTGTCTATTACCTTATCTTGCCAGGTGATCTTCAGATCTTCCCAAGATGGAGATAATTGAACGACCTGAACCAAAAAGCCGTCATTAATGAATCAGTGCTGGCATGAAGGGAAATTTCTATTACAGTCCCTGGGGACTTTTACTGTTTAATATTTCTATCTTACCAATGGCCTGGATGTAGACAAAGATTAATCTTATTTGTTTTGCATGAAGACAGAAACTCCAAAAAGATCTCAAATAGGCCATAATGATAGACTAATTAAAATGAGATAATATTTGTTAAGTGCTTTGCAAACCTTAAAGCACTATAATAATACAAGCTATTATTGTTATTGTTATTGTTGTTTTATATGGAATTTAACAGGTGAATATCAAGTCCTATACTTGGCTTAAAAAAAAAATCCGTTACATAGCTACAGGGTGTCTCAAAAGTGTTAGTGCAATTTTAGCAGGCCTGAAGACAGGAAGACTGCTGTCTGGCCTCAGACACTGATTAGCAGTGTGACCCTGGGCAAGTCACTTAACCCTATTTGTCCCAGTTCCTCATCTGTAAAATGAGCTGGAGAAGGAAATGGCAAACCACTCCTGTATCTTTGCCAAGAAAACCCCAAATGGGGTCACAAAGAGTTGGACACAACTGAAAAACAACCGAACAATAACAACAAAAAAGACTTTTGGGATGCTATATAAGATGTGGCCTATTTGATTTGACAGCAGTTTCTGTGGGGGAAAAACTGGGGTGTTCAGTGGCCAAAAGTTCAACATGAGTCAGCCATGTGCCATGGCAGACAAAGAAAAAGCCAGTGTGATCTTAGGCGACATTGAGAAAGATAGAGTGTCCTTCAGCAAGGGAGGGTAGTCCTGCTCTGCTTTGGTCACAACACATCTGGAATGTTATGCTTGGCCTTGGGTACCACCTGTTAGAAGGAATGTGCTAAATTAGGATAGGTCCAGAGCAGGCAGCCAGGATGGTGAGTGAGCTGGGGACCAGACCATAGAAAGAGTGACTGAAGGCTCTGAGGGATATTTAGTTTAGGGAAGACCTAGTGGGAACATGATAAATTGTGTGTGTGTATGTTTGTGTTTAAGAAATTAGTGTGTCCCTCAACATACTGTTATATGTATGATATATTACTATAGGGAGGTCTCTACTAGAGTGAGTTACATATACATTTATATGTAATTTACATGTATACTTGCATACATACATAATGAAACATACATTATAGATACATATACATATATAATTTACATGCATACACATGTATGTATAATCTGTCATATTATTTAACATCAGACAGATAATATATTCACTATATTAATATATAATATTAAACAAGTTAAATATGTATATAAATTATGACCATTAAATATATAAATCTATGTTAAATATACTTATGTTATTTAGTATATAAACATTTATATATTTGATATAAACAATGTATTGTTTCATATATTAAATACATTATTTAATACACATTTAATATATTAAAATTTATACACAGATGTATAGATAGGATATGTTATATATTATATAGCATATACATTGTGTATATTATATATTATGTAATGTGTATGATAATGCATAGGCATATGATATTTAATACATTGCATATATATGCAGTCTCATGCAATATATTTAATATATTATTCGTGTTACATATAAATCTTTTAATATAAAATTCACATAATATTTATGTGTATATATAAAAGTGTGTGTGTGTGTGTGTGGTTTGTTTGTTTGTGTATGGCAGCTAGGTCGCTCAGTAGATAGAGCATCTGGGCCTGGAGTCAGGAAGACCTGTGTTCAAATCTGCCCTCAGACACTTACTAGCTGTGTGAACCTGGGTGGGTCACTTAACCTCTGTTTGCCTTAATCCACTGGAGAAGGTAGTGGCAAACTATTCCAGTATCTTTGCCAGGAAAACCCGGTGGACCATATTGGCATGCTATGATCCACAGGGTCACAAAGAGTTGGTTGGACACGACAGAACGATGTGGAAGAAATATTAGACTTACTGTTCGTGGCCCAAGCGGGCATTACTAAGGCTAGGGGTGGAAGTTGCGGAGAAACACATTCCAGTCTCATGTAAAGAAAACTTGCTATTAACTCGAGCTGTCCCCAAGGTAGTGGGCTCTGTCAGCAAGGAGTTGATTCCTTCGTCCTATACCTAGGTCTGTCACTGGAGGCCAGAATGTTGCTCCTACCCTGTGGGGAAGGTGCCTATAATAAAACTTACTACCTGGAGGAGAGAGCAGCTCACCCCAGGGAGCTTTGAAAGGCAACTATTTACTTGTTTTTGCCTGCTGAAACAGAGATCTTCTCCTATACTGGCTCTGAACTTCTGTCTCCTAACCAGGAGGTAAGTGGCCCAGTAAATAGGGTACTGGACCTGAGTTCAAGTTCAGCCTCCCACACTTATTAGCTGTGTGACTCTGGAAAGTCACTTTACCTCTGTCTGTCTGTTTCCTCGTCTTTAAAATGAGGCAATAGTAACACCTATTTTCCAAGCTTGTTGTGAGGATAAAATGAAGTAATATTTTTAATCACTTTTTTAAAACTTCAAGTGATATATAAATGTGAATCGTTATTTTTACTGCTGTTGCTGCTTTCTTCACTGCCACCACCATTGACTCTACTACTGCCATATTACTACTACTGCTACTGCTACTACTACTATCACTACTATCCAGGTTCAGTGGACTCTATTCACACCAGTTCTTTTATTTTGATTCATTTACAATCATGCCAATGTCGAAGCACCCGTGCCATTAGCATTTCATTTGCATATTTATATTCAAAAAGTGTTTTTTATCAATGGGGTGGTTAGATATATATTATATATGGAAACTTGTAACTTTATATTTATATTTAACTGCTTTTCTCTAAATTTCTAGTATGGAACACAGATATAGTATAACTGACCATGCAAAATGCGCACTTATTTTACTTATTTCTTTTTTCTTTTTGGTGAAGCAGTTGGGGTTAAGTGACTTGCCCAGGTTCACACAGCTAATAAGTGTCAAGTGTTAGGGGTTGGATTTGAACTCAGGTCCTCCTGACTCCAAGGCCAGAACTCTATCTACTGCGCCACTTAGCTGCCCCAAAATATTTGTTTTGAATGAGATCTAATTGTTTTGATACTTCATATTGTTGGTTTGTTGTTTCAAACATGTACATATTACAGACTCAATTTAATTGAAAACTAGTTGTTTTGATACTTTATACTGTTGACTCATTTTCAAAAATATAATTTATGTTGTGTCTACAGAGCACAGAGTGATATTAAAGGTTTTCTAATTATCTAGTTAATGTTTTCAATTTAGGGAAATAAATCAGAGAGCTCAAACCCCAAAGTATATTTTTTTAAGGAAAATTAAATATGAATTTGTGCAATGTAATGTTGGAAGCAAGAAAGCAGAAATTATGCATATGAAAATTAATGGGAACACAAAGATAGAGACCAAGTTTGGATTAAGAATGGAGAGATTGTTACTAATAGAATAGAATTTTTTTTTCTTTTTTTAATTGCTATTCATCCAAAGCATGTAAAATGCTATTGAAGAAAGTTATAGTTCAATATTTTTGTGTTAGAAAGGTTAGGGAAGATGAAGTCTGGCTGTATTTGTATTTCTATAGATAAAGGGTAATCCACAGAAGAGTGGTGTAGCAGAGAGTGCCTAATGCCTCATGGCAGTTCTTACTTACAGGGAACACTTGCAGAGCGGATTCGTGCAGGGGGCGCAGGAGTTCCAGCCTTCTTCACCAGTACAGGCTATGGAACATTGGTGCAGGAGGGAGGTTCGCCCATCAAGTATAATAAAGATGGCAGCATTGCAATCGCCAGCCAGCCAAGAGAGGTAAGAACTGTAGTCCAAAAACCATATGTGATCCCATTTACCTTAGAAACATACTGTGTTGATACATAAGATAAAAGAGCTGCAACATTATATATTATTTGTAAGCATGAGAAGCAAAACATGTATGCTAGGTGGAAAGGGAATAATTTACTATAAATCTGGTAAAATTTCTAGCTAAACCCCAGTATCAAATGTTAGTTTTTACATTTTAATAATTTACTTTACTTGTGACTCCACTGACTGACTTTCCAGTAATCTCTCTTTTAAGAAAGACAAAAAAAAATATTTAGTACGGAAGCTGCACAGAGAACCTTGAAATTTTGAGTCGCAAGACTTGGGTTCAAATGTGAGCCCTTCTGATTTCCTGGCTTTGTAACCTTGGACAAGTCACTTCACTACGCTAAGACTCAGTTTCCTCATTTGTAAAATTGGATTCATACCGTAGTACTCACTTCACAGTAATGTTGGAAGGAGCAAGTTAGAACATATGGAAAGCTCTTTGTAAACCTTAAAATGCTGTGTAAATGCCAGCTATTATTATTTAGAAACTAGGATATATTAATATGAAGAAGTAGAATGTTCTTAAACTGTTGAAACATGCCAATTTGAATGAAGTCAGGTTAGTTAATTAACCAAGTATTTATTACATGCCTGCTCTGTTGATAATACTTTATTGACATTGAATAAGTTTATGTTAGAATATGGATGACTGATTATATTTATACTTGAGAGTAAGAGAGCCAAATTGTAATAATCAACAAGCATTTATTAGGTGTTTACCATGAACCATTGAGTTGTAGTAGATGCAAGAGATTTTGTTGTTTGCTGTGCCTGACTCTTCATGATCCCATTTGGGGCTTTCTTGGCAAAGATAATATAGTCGTTTGCTATTTCCTTCTCCAGCTCATTTTGCAGATGAGGAAACTGAGGCAAGCAGGGTTAAGTGATTTGCTCAGGGCCACACAGCTCATGAAGATGTATCTTCCTGACTCCAGACCTGATCCTCTATACACTGTGCCACCCAGCTTCGAGGGATATCAAGACAAAAAAAGAGCCGTCAGGGAAAACATGTGCCTAATAATAGCAATAATAACAGCTAGCTTTCACATAGTACTTCAAGGTTTGCGGAGAGCTATGCATGTATCTCATTTTATCTTAAGTATACACATAAGATACATTTTATTTATATACCCATATATTAAATGTATGTATTTATATGTCTGTTTACCTCAGTTTCCTCAAGTATAAAATGGGGATTATGATAGCACCAAGGGTTGTTGGGAGGAGCAAATAAGATCACATTTGTAAAATGCTTAGCCCATTGCTTGGCACTGTAGGAGCTCTATAAATGCTTATTCTTGTCCTTTTCCCTCTCATTGGTAAATTTCAAGGATTGGGTTTAGCCTCTAATGTCTCTTCCAACTGTAAACCTATACTCATCACCACTTAAGAAAACTATTCAAGTGTATATTTATTTGAGATAAACAGACTTATTTGTTCAAATCTACAACGAGAATCGATACCTTTCCCTGTCTTCAGATTTTTGAGAATATGAAGAGAGAAAATTGATGTGTGACGTACAGGTTTAGATTCATCCAAATCTCCTTTTCCTTTGATTTCTTGTTCCTCTGTTGCTTGTGAAGATTTCCATTCTCTTCCTCAAAGGAAGGGGGATTGAAAAGGGAGAACCAAGCAGTCAGGCTTGGCCTGTGTCATTGGACCTTAGCCCTTACCAACAAAAGAAGTGCCCCTTTCCCCCAGTCCTCTTCCAATTCTGCCTTACCTAGTGAAGCAATAGAAATCACGAAACAGGCTGAAATCAGGAGAGTTAAATTCCGAGTAGTCTGGGATACAGAAGGTCTAGGGTTTTTACAGGAAACTAGAAGAGCAGGACTAAATAGAGAAGGACCACAGATTGATTCCATATCCTTCAGTGAATTTTTCAGTGAATACGAAGGACAACATTGTAGGCGTCTGAAAAGGACTTGTTTGTTACTTTTATTTTCTTTTTTCCCATTGTTATTAACAGAGATTTTTCTCCCCATCCCCCAGATCCCAACAACCTGACTAAAAACCCAAGCTTAGGAAAGTATTTTTAAAAATCAGTCAACATACATTTATTAAACACCTACTGTGTGCCAGACGCTGTACTAAGCACTGGGGGTACAAGGAAAGCTGAAAGACAAGTCCCCATTCTCAAGGGGCACAGGGTTTTGTCCTTGCTTCGGGGATGGGAGGTTCTATAGTGGGCCAGGGAAGGACAGAGAGCCTGGTTTGAATCCAGAGCTAGAAAGTGAAACAAGTGGTCCTATCCCTACATCCCTTTGAAGAAAAATAATAAGATATGTCTGTGGTGGGTTGATTCTGTTTTTTTTGTTTTGTTTTTGGTGAGGCAATTGGGGTTAAGTGACTTGCCCTGGGTCACACAACTAGTGAGTGTCAAGTGTCTGCTCTGAGGCCGGATTTTAATCCAGATCCTCCTGACTCCAGGCCCAGTGCTCTATCCACTGTTCCACATAGCTGCCGCCGGGTGGGTTGATTCTGGCAGAAGATTCTGGGCTCTCCAAAAACAATAGCTGGAAGAAGAAAAAAAGGCAGACTGCTGATCCACCACCATTCCTTTCTCCTAGATGCTTTTCCCTTCCCCAGGGCCTGTCTCCTTTTGTGCCAGAGGAATTATCTTGTCCCTTCCTTCCTTCCTTCCCATACAGTCCTCCCTCCCTCATGATCTTAACCCTATCTCTTCCAAATGTCCTTTGCGCCTTATCTCTACCCTCCATCTCCTTAGGTGTTTGGGACCCTTCTCAAAATTACAGGAGCCCCTACCAAGTTGGGGAAGCCTGAACTCATTTCCCCACAGAAACAGCATTGTCATGGATAAATTCTCTACCTGGGCAAGTTACTTAAACTTCATAGCCTCAGTTTCCTCATCTTTAAAATGGGAATAACAGCACCTATCCAGTATTGTTGTGAGATTCCAGCGAGTTAACATGTAAAAAGACCTTGCAAACTTTAAAGTGCCAAGTGGTATCATGGATAGGGTGCTGAGCCTGGAGTCAGGAAGTGCCGAGTTCAAATCTAGTCTTAGACACTTAGCAACTCTGTTACCTTGGGCATGGCCAAGTGAATTCAGCTCTGTTTGCCTCAGTTTCCTCATCTATAAAATGGGAATCATCATAGCAGCTACCTCCCAGGGTTATTGTGAGCCTCAAATGAGATCACAATTGTAAAGTAATAAAGTAATAATAAATTGTAAAGTGTAAAGTAATAATATGCACAGTGCCTGGTGCACGGTAAGGGCTACGTGAATGTTATTATCATTTTTATTATATGAATGCTATTAATTCTTCAGGTTTGGGACTTCTAGGAGATAGCCTGGAAAGCTGAATCACTTTTTGTAGCATTGTGTCAGTAGGAAAGGATTTTGCACGGAGTTGAGGAAAGAGTACTGGGTTAGGAGTCAGGGGACCTGGGTTCTGAAACTTGGCAAGCCTCTTAATGCCCCTAGTAATGACAACAATAATAGCCAACAGTGATATAGCACATCCTATGTGTCAGGCACTGTGCTAAATGCTTTACAATTATCATCTCACTCTATCCTCACAACTACTGTGGGACGTAGGTGCTATTATTATCCCCATTTTACAGATGAGGAAACTGAGGCAAACAGCCATTAAATGACTTTACCAGGATAGCAGAGCTAATAAGTGTCTGAGAGTAGATTTGAACTCAGATCTTCCTAGCACTCTATCCACTGCCACACATAGCTGCCTCAGTGCTCAGTTTCCTCATCTGTGAAGTGAGGGGTTTCATAGTGACAATAATAGCTCGCATTTATATAGTACTTTACAGTTTGCAATGCGCTTTACGTGTAAGGTGATCTTTAAGGTCCCCTCCAGCCCTAAATCTATACACCTGGGAGGAAAGTTGCAAACAACTGACTTACAAAGAAACTTTGGAAATTCAGTCTTTATTAGGGGTCCTTTACAGTGATCTCTCATCTTCCAGAAATTCTGGGATGCTAGATTTGTTATTCATCACAGAGTGGTTCTCTTCTCTTCTGCTTAGAATGGTTTTTAGCAGAAAAGATTATTTTTATGAACCTAGGCCAATCAGAGAATTAAAACAGTCCAGTCTTGCTCTCAAAATGTATCCTGAACTTTGTCCACTAGATGGTACAGTTGGAATAAGAATAGAGCCCTGCCTGGAAAACTGTTTTATTCCTTTAAATAATAAAGCAAGAAGATGGAGCCAGAGAGCTCAGGGCACGAACAGCATTTGGTTTTCATTTCTCAGAGGTGCATCATGAAAATGAGAGGAAGCATATAACACTAAGCAAGCTTTTAAAATAGATTTCCTTAAAAATAAATAGAAAGTAATTAGATCCTGTGTAGGAATTAGGGCAAACCATATGACCAGCATGCATGTATTTTATTTCCTGCAGGTGAGAGAGTTTGATGGCCATCATTATATTTTGGAGAAAGCCATCACAGGTGATTTTGCCCTGGTAAAAGCCTGGAAAGCAGATCGTTCAGGAAATGTCATTTTCAGGTAGTGTATATGAACAGTGGTGATGGTGGTGATGATGGTGATGATGGTAATGATATATTTTGGAAGATATTTCTATAATGCACATTTTGATGATATATCAAATTCAAGTATTTTACTGAGTAGACTTTTAAAAGTTATCAGGTTGTCATTTTGGGGAGCATGGTTCCATTTTTAAAATGTCTTAGTTATTAACTTCAGCATCTAGGTGGCTCAGTGGATAGAGTACCAGGCCTAGAGTTAGAAAGATTAATCTTCCTGAGTTCAGATCTGGCCTCCAACACTTAGTAGCTGTGAGACCCTAGGCAAGTCACTTAACACTTTTTTGCCTCAGTTTCCTCATCTGTAAAATGAGCTGGAGAAGGAAATGGCAAACCGCTCTAGTGTCTTTGACAAGAAAACCCCAGATGGGGTGATAAAGAGTCAGGCGTTATTGAACAATAACAAAAGTCATCAAGTAAGTTCTTATGGAGAGTCAAGTAGATAGAAAGCTGGCCTTCAGAGTCAGCGAGATCTGCGTTTGAGTCATGCTTCTGGTATGTATAGACTCTGATTCTATGGAGTAGGTCATTGAATCTCTCAGTGTTCTGGGCAACTCTCACTGAGTTACCAACCTGCACTGGTAGGAGTTTCCTTATCTGAGAATTCCCTGTACAAATCAAATCACAAGTCTGATTTCTGTCCCTATGTGCTGATATTTTTAATACATGGTACGCCTGAACTTCAAAAAAAAAAAACCAAAATTACCTTCTGTTTTCAAAATGTGTTGAATACTTCAAAAATCCATGATTTTGTCTGTTTATGTTTCTTTTTCCTGACATTAATCACAAACTTTTTATGCTTTTGCATATGGCCATTGTGAATTGCTGTGGCCTCCAAATTGATGACTGGCCAGACTGGTAATGAACCTCACTAAAGCTGTCCATTCTGGCCCTTAGATAAAGGGCTTATCGTCCTGTCATTGGGCCTGTACTCAAAAGAGTCACAAAGTTTTATCAAAGGCCATGTAGTCAAACTCATCTTTGAACAGGAATCTCCACTATAGCCTAGCTGGATAATGGTCATTCAGCCTTAACTAATAGACCCCAAGTGAAGGGGATCCTACTTGAGGCAGTTCATTCTACCTGATAAAGCTCTAATAGGTGGGAATTATTGCCCTACGTTGAGCCAAAGTTATTCCAAGTTCTGTCCTCTGGGTTCAAGCAGAACTATGGTAATCTGTTCATGTGGCAGCTTGCCAAATATTCGAAGACAGTTACCATGACCATCCCCTCCTCACCTAGTTTTCTCTTCTCTAAGCTAGACATTCCTAGTCCCTTCATCTGATTATTGTATCACATGGTTTCCAGTTCCCTCAAAACCCTGGTCACTCTGCTTTGGATGCTTTCTAGTTGAAAAATGTCCTTTCTAAAATTTAATTATTAGAAACTAGATGCACTACTCCAGCATATATGATTTCACCAGGAACTATTATGATCTCTTTTCTGGGCTATATCTTTCTTAATACATTCTAATAATACTATTAGCTTTTTTGGCTTTTGGGCCATTAAAAAACAGTGGAACTTTTTCATGTGAGTACCGTTGCCTAAACATGCCTGTGCCATCTTATAGTTATAAAGTTGATATTTTTTTAAACCTAAACATAGGACTTCACATTTCTCTCTGTTAACATTTTGTCTTCCTCAATCTGGTTGCTCGTTTTAGCCTATTGAAATAATCTTCAATCACAATTATGTAGTCCAACTCTTTAGCTATCCTTCCTAACTTTGTGTCATGGGCAGATTTGATAAACATGCCAGCTGTGACTTCCAAGTTATTGATAAGAATACTTAACAGTTGAGGGCCAGGATAGATCCCTGGTACACTCAGATCTTTTTTCAAGTCGACACTCTCACAATAATAAATATTCTGTGGCGCTAGCCACGCAGTCCATTTCCTATCCAAATAATTGTGTTTGTCTTCTAGCTCGTAACTCACTATTTCTTCAGAAGCAAAATACAAGAGACTGACAGATTCTTTAAGTATCCTATATTTACAGTATTTTGATCTGCCAGGCTAGGAACCCTTTCAAAAGATGAAATAAAGTAGTCTGATGTGATCTTTTTTGGTGAAGCTACACTGACTTTTAGAGATCACTTCTTTCCTTTTCAAATGGTTGCCAACTCTCTCTGATTATACAGTCTAAAATTTTATCAGAAATTAGATTCAAACTCAATAGCCAGTTGTTTATGCACTCCACCCTTCTTCCCTTTCCTTCCTTCCTTCCTTCCTTCCTTCCTTCCTTCCTTCCTTCCTTCCTTCCTTCCTTCCTTCCTTCCTTCCTTCCTTCCTTCCTTCCTTCCTTCCTTCCTTCCTCCCTTCCTTCCTTCCTTCCTCCCACCCTCCCTCCCTGCCTTTCTCCCTCCCTCCCTCCTTCCATCACTGTCCTTTGAGAATTTGTTACTGTTTGGCTACAAATCTTCTCTTCTTTTAACATTTTAATGTATCTGTGGGCAACTAGATGGTGCAGTGCATGAAGTGCATGGCCTGGAGACAAGAAGCCTCATCTTCCTGAATTCAAATCTGGCCTCAGACACTTACTGGCTGTGACCCTGAGCAAATCATTTAACCCTGTTTGGATCAATTTCCTCATCTGTAAAATGAGCTGGAGAAGGAAATGGCAAGCCACTCTGGTTTTTTTGCCAAGAAAACCCCAAAACAGGGTTACAGAGAATAGGACACGACTGTAAAAACTACTGAACAAGTGATCTTTTCAATTTGAGTATTGTTTTCCGTGGTACAGGTCGTAATCTAGCTACTGCTTCTTATTCTGTGTCCATTTCTTCTGGTAAATTCTTCACAGTGGCCTATCCATCCATTGTCCTTAGGCAGGTGACTCTTTCTATAGGCTTTTTGACATTACAGGGGTAATGGTACAACATACAACTTTCCATATATTATCCCTTGCTCTAGCTACATGGTCAGCCCAACTTCTTTTCTGGCCATAGATATTAGGTGATGTATGTGATGTTCCTTTAAAAAAAAAAAACATGCAATTAAGTGTTGGCCATATGCTGTAGCCTGTTAGCCTAATTATGTCGTCCAGCCTAACACAATTTTAAAGAAGCCCCAGATATGCTTTACTTCTCTCTCTCCTCCTGTCTCCTCTTCCTCAGCCTCTTTGCCAGCCACTTTGTATCCATTCCAAAGACCATGACCTGGAGGAACTTCCACTCAGACTGTTCCTATCCTACCCTCCCCTCTCTCCCTTGCTATTGGTGACTGCCTTTGTAGAATCCCTTTTCTTTCTTTCTTTTTTTTTTTTGCTAGGCAGTGGGGTTAAGTGACTTGTCCAGGGTCACACGGCTAGTAAGTGTTACGTATAGAAGGCCGGATTTGTGCTCGGGTCCTCCTGAATCCAGGGCCGGTGTTCTATCCACTGCACCACCTAGCTGCCCCGTGTGGGATCCCTTTTCAAGAAGGCCCCAGCCATCCTTCGGTTGTTCCTCTCTACCCATTTTCAGAGCCTCCTTACCAAGGCCTTACATGCACACTCTTTCCTCTCACTGTCCTCTCTATGAACTATGACAAAAACGTCTCTGCAGTTGTTCCTGGATAGGATGTATCAGTCTTTGTGGATCAAAATGTCCCTCCTTGGCTACCAGTTCCCTAGTTAGTTGATTCCCCTGTTGGCGTGTAATTGTTCTAGGGACAGTGAATGCCTGTATTTGTGTTCCTGTTGGATCCCCATTGCTTGGTGTTTGTAAACAAATTCCTCTGCATAATGGAAGAAAGATTAGAATCATAAATTTAGAGCTAAGAGGTTAAGTGATTTGCCCAGTTATATGGGAAGTAAATGGTATGCCAGGATATGGGCCCCTTCTTAGAATAATGTTGCATAAAATAAAATTATAAAGGAAACTATTATATTGAAATAGAGTTATAAAAATATTTTTTAAAATGGTCACAGACCCCAGGTTTACAACCCCTGCTGTGGATAATGCAATCCTACATATGCCTCTAATTATGGGTGACTATGCTGATTACATCAAGCCCTACACTTTTTAAAATGAGATCCATAATCAATAAAAAGGCTTTGGCTTAAATGTCCACACTGAATAAACAAAATGGATGAAGAATACTGCTTGCCTCCACTGTGGTCTTTAGTTAAGTGGATATCCCATACAGCTGTTCCATTTGTTCACATATCTTGATGTGTGCAGTGTTCTGGACCCAAATTTGAATAGGAGGAAGGCAGCAGGCTCAAGTACCATTGGAAAATTGTGCGGCACCGTTAACAGTTCCAATCTTCTTGCAACAAAAGCCTGCCTCCTTAACATTCTTCTTGTGGTGCTGTGTAGCTGTTCATCATGCAACATCACAGTCTCCAAGGGATCAGAATTATGTCACCAACAGGACATTGGAAGGATGCTTGCTTTCTTCTCATATTATTGTAAATGTGCTGCTTTTATTGGGTGCAAACCTCATCCTTACAAAACACCCAGACCTACGTATAGGTCTGGTAAGCAGAGTATTAAAGCATATTCCCAAAGAAAACTTGCAGTTTATCCTTTTTAATTTCTAAAATGGAAAAAAAGGATGTAGGGATTATGTGGTATTTATATTTGATCTCTTAAATTAAGATATTTCTAAAGTACATCTAATTTTAGCATTACAGATGTTTTAAAAATAGCCTATATTAATTTGTTCCTTGGTGTATTGTGGGTCTGTAGTATGTAGTATTTTTAAAATAAGAATGCAAAAATGAGAGAAGATTGTATTTTTAATGTAATTTGGCAGTTAGATAATTTTCTTAATACTATTCTGATCTCTTTCATAAAGACAGTCTACTAAAGGCATTGTACTCTGTGGAGGGGCTACCTATGCTGTTGAAATCAGGAATCTTTTGATATATTGAAATTTATTTTTATAAAAATTCTATTAATGTGCTCCGTTTCTGAGCACTGCACATAGGCAGCTGTAGTATGAACATTAAATGATAATAATTGCCCACCAAGACCATTTAAAATCTAATAACATTTCACTCCTTTGGTAGCTTGGATTTGGTGTGGGGTGCCATCGAAGCTTTTGATTCCTGGTGACAAAGGGAACTGGATTACTAAGAAAATTCTATCAAGCATGTGCTTTTAAAATGTTATGTTGGTACTTTTTTTCTTTTGTATACCTGGTTCTTCCCAGTACCCACATTGCCTCTTCCCCAAATTGGATCTTCCCTTGATACAAAAGAAAAACAGCTGAGCAAAACAAACTACAAGATAATCTCATGTTACATATATTTGGTTGATATTTAAGTCTACATAGGATCATAGATTTAGAACTGGAAGAGATCTTAGGTGCCATGGAGTCTAGTCCCCTTACTGTACAAATGAGAAAACTGAGGCCCAGAGAGGTTGACTAGGGTTGCATAGCTTGTGTCTAAGAAAGGATATGCACCCAGGTCCTCCTTTCACACTAGGGTCAGCCTTAAAACTCACTAAACTCCAGTACCTCACACATGGGTCAGACTATAAGACCATGAGAAATCTGAGTGAAGGTTCATATTCCCCTGGCTTTAAAAATGTTCATATCTTGTCTTCTATTAGAGGCCAGACATGGGGGTAGTCTGAAGCAACAGTCTCTAAAACGACTTAAGTAACGTAATGGGTTTTATAGCCTCCTTACAAACACTGAATGGAGAAATCCTGATCAGCAAGCATTTATTAAATGCTTACTATGGTCAGGCACTGTGGTAGACCTTAGAGGTACAAAGAAAAGCAAAATAAGATGTTTTTTTTCCCTTATGGTTTTGTCCCTGCACTAAAACAGCATACTTAATATGGCACTTAAGTGACAAGAGCTGAGAATGTAGATATAGAAAACTTTCTGCTTTTGAATATATTGATATATGCATTTAGAGTCGTGGAAAAATATGTCATGGCGTTAGAAGAGCTCATTTGAATTTGTTTTGGGAAAGCTATTTCTTTAGTTGGTGCCTAAACCTCTTGTAGGAATTGAGTATTAAAAAATTATTAGTAAAATAAACTTGGAACCCTATTGAAAATATTGTAGTTCAGCAGCTTCTACAGTGTTCTTCCTATTAAAAGATTCATTACAAAATGGTTCCCACAGGGACTGATCTTTATGGGTGACTCAGAAATCACCAAATGATGTCTTGGAGATTTCAGCAACATTTCTGTTGGATAGAAGATGGAGTTATTGCATTTTCCCATATGGAGACTTACTCCTTTATATTTCTAAATATAATAATGAGAGCAAGTTACTCACTGAAATATTTAACTATTGAAGCAAAGTCATATCCCCATTAAAAGGTTTGGGGCAGCTATTTTCAAAAAGTGTTGATGATTCATTAACATCCAGTTTATCTTTATGCTCATGAGAGTAGGTATGATGAATAACTCCTTTTGTTATGCACTGAAGACGCTCTTAAGTAAGACAAATGAAAGAGCCAGGGTTTTTTTTTCCTCCAAAAAGCTCTTGTATTTCATATAATAAGAAATGTCCATTTTATATATCACTTTTTTTGAATAGTGTGACAGATTAATAGAATTTTGTAGCTACTTACTGTCTTTGTCTTCTCCCTCCTCCCTTTTTCCCACCCCCCAGGAAAACTGCAAGGAATTTCAACTTGCCTATGTGTAAAGCTGCAAATACCACGGTGGTAGAGGTAAGAAAAGGAAAGGGTGGTGGTTTTTTAAAGTTATTGTTTACATCTTAGTATTATTATGTCTGTGTAACTTTAATCCTATTTATTACTCAAGAAAAATGCTGTATTACAGTTTAGAATTTTTGGTGTTTCTGCTCTCTTCAGTAATATATGTGTCTCTGTGTGTGTGCGCTGTGTGTATACAGTCACACACACACACACACAGATATATACATATATATTCAGAATGGTACACATTATTACGCCTTATTTTGACAGTCAGTATATGAGATTTTTGCTGTAATAGCTTTTTGATCATGTTTAGTTTTGTTATGTTTTAAGAGATAACATTGACAAACCCAGTGTATGCATGACCAGAGGTGGGCAGCCATGCTAGTGCAGATAGGTCAAATGAGAAATAGTTGAAGAAATGGGAGTTTGTAGCTTAGGAAATAGAAGAATTAGGGTGGGGTTTTTTGGGAGGGGGTAGTTATATCATAATTTTCAGTCAATATGTGAAGGATTGTCTTGGGAAAGAGGGAATAGACTTATTTTTGTGTGGTGTGGATATGAAACTAATACCAGTGGATGAGAGGTATAGGAAAACAAATTCAACCCAGAACAAGGAAAAAATTTCCCAATAATCATAACATTGGAATTAGCTGTCTTTTTAAGATGGGGAGTTCTCCAACACTGAAAGTGTTCAAGAAGATTCTGGATTTCCACTTGTAAGAGATTTTGCAGTGAGGTAAAAGAATTTGGTAAAGGATTAGTTTAGAATCTGTAAAACTCGGACTCAATCAAAAGGCTGCACCCAAGTATCTAGAAGACCACATGTGGCCTCTAGGCCACAAGTGTCCCATCTCTGGTTCACATGATCTCAGAGTCAATCCATAGTCTATGATGAACACCATATTGACTGAAGGTAGGGGAATAGGGTTGGACAGTATGATTTAGCAGGGAGAGAATTTGGGAAGCAGGAGAATCCAAAATGATTCTATTAGGCTAATAGGATAAGATTTAGTGGTACAGATGTTAATCTTGAATTTGGTTTCAAAAACTCAACTTCATATATAAGATGGGGGGGAGACAATAGCTAGAAATAAAGTGAATCAGTTCTTCATAAATTAAGTGAGTCAGTTTTTACTTATGGAATAGGCTTTAATGACCTAGTTGTGCAACACTCTTATTGAGGATTGGGATCAACTTTTATCTAGGGCCTTTACTAAAATGGTTTTATCTTGATGTATTATGGCAATGTACTATTATATTTTAAGAAATCAAATAAACTAGATGAAATAAACTTAGTTTTATCTCATGAGTTCAAGAGGGAACTTTCTGGGAGAATAACTGTCTCTTAACCGAGTTTCTGTATTTTTCTTCCATCCAATCTTAGACAGTTTTACTTAATTAAAAAATGACCAATAGTAACTGGAAGTCTGTGACTGCTGGAAGGGGAGTGTGGTACCAGAGTCCAGTTCATTGTAAGAGTGGTTCTGTTTTTATCTGCCATTATCTCTCAGAAGAATCTTATAGGGAGCATAGCTGTTTAATCCTTTGTGTCTGAGAGTAAGCCCCTTAAATTCTCTGATGTATCCTCATCTATGGGGTAGCTAGGTGGTATAGTGGATAGAGAGCTGGTCTGGAGTCAGGAAGAGTCATCTTTGTGAGCTCAAATCTGGCCTCAGACACTCAGTAGCTGTGTGACCCTGGGCAAGTCACTTAACATTGTTTGCCTCAGTTTCCTCACATGTAAAATGAGTTGGAGAAGGAAATGGCAAACCACTCCAGTATCTTTGTCAAGAAAACCCCAAATAGGATTACAAAGAATAGACTTAACAACAACAATCCTCATCTGTAGGATGAAAGAATTGGATTTAATGACTTTTAAGGTTCTTTTCAGCTCCAGATCTGTGGTCCTTTGGTCCTATGTAAGCTTGGCTCTGTTTTCAACAATACTTCCATTTGGGGGGGGTGCCCTTGGATTAATGGGGAGCTCCAGGGACAGATTCACAGGATTATCACATATTTTATAGACATATATCGTAGAGACATATCAGATTTCGGGTTGAGTATGGTCCCTACGTCAGGGACTTCTACCAAGAAGTTTGTTGTTGCTCCTGCATTTCATTTTTGAATAATATTTTCTGGTTCAGGAGGTCTGCCTCCAGATCAGGAGTATTTCTACCTCTGACATTTACCTATAATCCTTACCTACATCTCTACTGCCACAGTTGAGGATACTGTTCCCAAGCCTTATCTCATCTTGCCTTTGTTAGCAGATAAATGGCCAGATGGCTCCGTTGGGCCTGGAATCAGAAAGACACTGAGTTCAAATCCAGCCTCAGACACTTACTAGCTATGTGACTCTTCACCTTTGTTTTCCTCAATTTCATAGTCTGTAATAATAACAGCACCTACCCCCCAGGGTTGTGAGGATCTAATGATAAAATATTTGTAAAATACTTAGCACAGTGCCATCATGGTCGAAAGACTGCTGACCTTTCCCACGAGCAATGGGATGTGACTTAGAATCCAGACTCTTATCACTGCTTATGTAATTTAACTTCTCTGGGACTCATTTTCCTCATCTGAAAGATGTGGGGCTTGTATTACATATTCTCTTAAGTTTTCTTGAAACTTTAGATCTGCAATCCTGTGATCCCTTAAAAAAATCAGCTCTCGAATTTTAGTGTTTATACAGAACCTCTCAGAGATTGTCTTTTGTTTATTTTGTTCCTCCCAGTTGTGAATATTCTTAAGTCACTTCAGATTGAGCTCTTCAGCCCCACTGGAGAAGATTTGATAATATCCCTTATAAAAGGGCTTTGTTGTGTCTTTGAACACTTAGAGTCTCATTGTATTGTGCTCTGCTCTAATGAGACTGTATCTGGAGTATTATGTTCAGAGCTGGGCATCATGTCTTAGGATGGCCATTGACAAGCCAGATTGTCCTGATCACAGAGGTGACAGTAGACTGTAAAATGGGGATAATGACAGGATGAGAAACAGAAGAAACTGGGGGTGTTAGCCTAAAGAAGAAAAGACTTAGGGCAGACCTGGTAACAATCTTCAAATATTTAACAGATGTCACATGGAATAGAGATTTGATTGTTTTGCTCAGACCAGATGACAGAACTAGAAGGAGTGTTTGGAAAATGTAGAGAAGCAGATTGAGGTTCAGTGGAAGGACAATCTTTCTAGTTGTTTGAACTATCCACAAGTCAAATGGGCAGCCCCAGAGGATAGTGGAAAAATGATTGTTGAGACTATGGCAGAGATGAGTTGTTTTGAGATACAGGTTGGACCTTTCCAAAGTTTAAGATTCAGTGATTGTACAGATCACTCCAAGAAACAGTGAAGGCTTCTCTTGACACTATCGTATGTACTTAGGTAATCATGAAGTTTTTCTTTATGCCTTATGCCCGTCTTTTACAAGTTCAAACCTATTTTTCTTGGCCTGTTCAACTCTGGATTGAAATTCATCAACATTCTTCCAGTAGTAATCCTTCACTCATTCTTCCTGAGTTTTACTTCCTCCCTACTCTGGGCTTTGCTGTTGTTGTTCAGTCATGTACACATTTGGGTTTTCTTGGAAAACATACCAGAGTGGTTTGCCATTTCCTTCTCCAGCTCATTTTGCAGATGAGGGAACCAAGGCAGACAGGGTTAAGTGACTTGCCCTTGATAGTAAGGCCAGATTTGAACTTGGGAAGATGAATTTTCCTGATTTCAGGTCCGGTGCTCTCTCCACTGTGTCACCTAGCTGCCCGTATTCTAGGCCAAGCAGTTCTGATTCATTGGATCTTTTTTTTTTGTTTTGGTAGAGTCTTTCTTTCATACCTTCCACCAAATCCTTTGATCTTTTTAAGTTGATGAGCCGTCTTATTTTTTGTATCATTGATCATAACATAAGCCACCTTATTTCTGGGTTATGAAATCTTAGAGGTGGCAGTGATCATAAAATACAGTTAGCATGTCATGAAAGAAATGAATAATCAGAAAAGAAAGCAGTCTAGTCATGTGGCAAGAACAGGGATTGCCTGGTATACTTCAAGAGAAAATGAGTAAGGCCACAATGATGAGATAATAATTCCATTTGAATAATAATAAAAATAATAGCTGACATTTATAAAAACACTTTAAGGCTTACAAAGCACTTTGCATACATTATATCATTTGATCTTCACATGTTGTCATCTAGTCCAACCCTGTCATTTTGCAAATGAGGAAATTGAGGCTCACCCAATGTCACACAGCTGGTTGGTGACAGACAGCATAAGAATACAGATTTTCTCAGATTCCCAGTTGAATTCTCTTTCTGTTTCACCATATGGTCTTGTTTCTTTATATTGTAGTATCTGTTTGCTTCCTGGTACTGTGTGCCCTCGCCGAAATGGCAAACTTCAGGCACTTGTTGGTTAACACTGTAAAAGACTATAATAATGATGCCAATATCTTGGCTTCACTCAGACACTGGTATATATGACATTCTCTATTCACAGTTCTCACCCCCCCACCTTATTCTCTCCATTTCATTGAATGGGAAAATTATTCTTCTTCCTTTGGATTGTGTACCAATCTGGAAATTGTACCAATTATATAAGCATATCTGGATACAAAATTGAAATAAATTGTTTTTAGTCTTGGCGTGTTGGGGAGGGCCAGTGCCTGAGAGTGTTCTGTTCATGACAATAAGTATTACTGTCATGGAGGACTGTTGTCAAGAAATTGGACCTGTATTGGTTATAGGGAATTACCCTTTGAAGAAATTCCCATTGCCAATACTCATTGGCACTTTCTTTGCAATTTTTAGTCTTAGAGAGTTTCTTAGTACACTGAGAAATCAGGTCATTTGCCCAGAGTCGCATAGACAGTGTATGTCAGAGGTAAGAATTGAACCTAGACCTTCGTGGCTTCCAGACCTGCTTTCTATTCATTATGACACACTGCCTCTCAAACGAGCAACAGTGGTGGAAAAAAAGTGTATTCTGATTCTTTCTTAAATTAAACTTTTGGGT